AAGAGCGTTCCAGTTGGGAGGCAGGTAACTCTTCCCACCCAGTGCTCAGGCAAACGCATAGGGATTGCCAAGCCTTGGTCCTCATCCCTTCGGCTCTCAGATCTCCACACTATGCTCTCCATGCTGAGGACAGTGTTAACCATTTCCCCCTCAGAGGGGGTATTTAAAATCTTCTTATCCTTAACAGATGATAATAGAAGCATTTTGTTAAAGCAGAATGCTTTCACCCTTTTTGTATAACTTTTTAAAAGCATAATATTTGTGGATGATTGTGATAGTAGTAGTATAAAATAGTGATATCAGCATAAAGTGAAGCTGAAACATGATTTGAGACCTTTGTTTGGGCACAGCTTGAATTCTGTGTGGCTTAGGTACAAGATGACCACTGTCATAGTTCATTTCTGCATAGAAATATTTTGTGTGAAAATGTAATTAATATTCTAGAAAGTATATTAATCTTTCTATCTAAAATAGTTCTGCTTTTATTTTGCTACCTCACAATCTTTACATATGTACTGGTGTAACACATGTTGCATGATTATACATTCACGTGCCGTAGGATAACGTCAACATCACTGATAACCAGTTTCAGAGATAAGGAGCTGTAACACACTGAAACATGGTTGGTTGGGCTGAGCTCACAAAGGACATGAATGGCAAAACAAAGACTTGAGCCCAGCTCTACCAAGTACAAGGCAAGTGTCTAAGCAATGAACTATATTCTGTATTCATAAATACACCGTAGGGAAGGAAAAAAAAAAGAAAAAGAAACATCTCTCAGATTTGCAAAAAGGCACAGCAGGTGCCACAGTTGTTCTGTGTTAGGGGAAAGTTATAGCCTTCACACTCAGAGACTTTATTGGAGAATAAATCTGAGGTCTTTACAAGACTCTCACTGAAAAGACAAAGTGGCAATAAGAGAAATAATTGAATTCCTTATTTTGTTTTACATAGCCAAGTTCATTACCTTTTTTTTTTCCCTCTCTTTTTTTCCCCCCTCTTAGCCGTCTGAGCAGTACAGATAAAAAGAACTCTCTTTGCTGGATTTAACTTCTGTGTTGTTATGTAAAGCTTGATCAAATCCTTTCGTCTTAACAGACTTAACTGGCCAAGAGCAAAAGGCTCGGGATTCTGGGATTAAGATTGTATTTGGTAAGAGGACTGGTGCATTAGTGCTTTCTTTTGAACTATAGAAAGAACAAAGTAAACATCAAAAGCATTAAGCCATGAGAGCGGATTGTTGACTCAATGTTGCTGCATGACAAGAGGTTAGAACTCAATAGTGGTGACTCTGTTTACTGAGTGCCATGCAGAAAGAAACAGTTTGACCAGTATTGTCTATTATATCCAGCACCTGCCTTTGATTTTGCTGCTGGGCAAGTAACTAAATTGAAATTTTTGGATTTTCTCTTCCGTGGTCAGTGATTTCCTTAGACAAGAGACACCAATGGAAACCTCAGTCTCTTCTCTGTATTACTCTTACTCTGTTTCCCTTCTTTCTCTTTCATTAATAACTCAACAATTGGGCATGCTGGATGTAGGTTCTGTAGTGGATTCATTTGCAACTTTCATTCCAAGTTTAGCAGTGCTTTCCCACTGCATTTCGGAGACTTCCACTTGCCAAACGTAGAGTACTTGTGCAATCTGCTGTGGCTGTGTACAAGCTTCTTGTGCTTGAACTTTCTTGCCCAGCGGTTTCTGCGCAGGAAGCTTCATTCTGCATGTGCTTCATTACTCTTCATGTTGTGGATAAAAGAGCTTAAATTTTCTCTTCCTTGTCCCTCAGTCGAACAGTAGGTTGACGGAACAGAATGACTGGAGGTATCTTTGGAAGAAGTCACAAGAACTAGCACAGCCATTGGGAGATACTTTTCATTTCATTTCATTTCAATGAGGAAGCTAAAATGGCAGACCGGAATGGAATGTAGCATCAAAGAGCACGTCACTCTTCCATCATGGAGGCATGCAGGTGGCTCAGAAAGCTGTCTGCTATTCATGTGTGCAACAATAACATCCAAGTTTTCTCTCTGCTCTTCAAGGCATAAATAAGCTTTTAAATGAGTCATTCAAGAGTCCTGCACTTGTTTTCCAGAACTCTTTTCACCACCTTTTCCCGGACCTTTTGGAAAATTTTCACAGCTAAAGCCTGTAGACTAGGAGAGCTTTCTTATCTTGACCACTCCCTCTCATTATGAAGTGAACTGGGGTTCCTCTGTCTTATCACTTGAACATTTAGAAGCTTTTCAGAGCAGCCTGTTTTCTCCCTGCTTGTGATATCTGAACCAGAAGCAGGAGAATCTCCCTCTGACACAGGCTGATTGTGGAAAAGAGGCAATTTCCCTCTTGTCTCAATACAAGCTCTTTAGAGCCCAGAGGGATGTAGCCATCAGTCTGCTTCAGCTGCCTTTTGGAGTACAAAGTGAAGTCCTTACGCTCAGGAGACACGTAACCTATCACCCCAATTAGTTATGTGATAATGTGATTTCTCATGTCACTGTTCTCATGAAAAGTGTGACTTACGTGTTTCTACAAACCAGAAATCTTGCATCTCTGTGAGATCGGTCTAGTCGTGTACCTGTCAGAGGAGCTGCCTCTTATGCTGATAGCATCTGTTGTTCCCTGTTTCATTTGTCAGCTGAGGGTGATGTTTTGATTATTACTCTCTCAACAAAAAGACTGGAGAAGATCCAAGTCTTCCTGGTGCCTTTTCTGAACATGATATCCAAAGTCCCGCTGAAAGTAGTGACAGAGCTTGACCTGAATCAACAAACCCATTTTTTGATGTGTTTCCCAAACCAGATGTATCCAAATCCCTTGACAATGTAAGATGTTCCCTCGTCCAGTACCAGAAAGGACAAAATTATTCAGGTCATCTTCTTGCCTGTAAATATTAGAGACCCCTCCAGCAGAGTTCAAAGCACATGTTATTGCTGAAAAAAGAAGTCTATCATATCTGTAAAAGAGCTACTGATAGCACACATTTACAAGACATTATGGAATATCTTAACCTTCAAGTAAGGCATGCTGTATTCAGCAAAGCAGAAAGATAATTCATTATATTTTTAATATTATTGTATGTTTTTCAAGATGTTACTATTATGTCCAGTCAGTCCTTCATCTCTTCTTCCTCCACCCAGTGTCCAGGGAATCTGTGGTCAAGTGGGAGCTGAGGTGTGGTTAACAGTTCCCACCATGAAGAGCTGTGTGGTTATTTTTGACTTTAATAAGAACTGATAAGCAAACAAGGAACCACTAGTAAAGAATGAACCAGTGTTTTAAGGCTGCTGATCTTATGCCCAATGCTGCCAGCCCTCCCGGACCCCTACACAGC